GGATTTTGTCAAATAAATCCTATTAGTTTATATGGCAAGATTAAAAGTTTACTTGATAAAGGTCTAAGTATATTACATCTATCCAATTACTTTTGTAGGGCATTTCATTTGCTACTGCAAAACATTTTGATTAATAAAACTTATCACTATATCACACAAGCCTTAATCCATTTAGAACATACAGCCTGCAGGCCACACCCAATCCAAGGAAGCCAATCATATGGCCCACAGGCTACCCCAGGATCTCAGCCTAGACCCACATGTGCTGCATGTGGTGCAAACCAGATTGGCCCCACATGCTGCATGTGGTGCACGGGGCCAGTTTGGGATGCTTGCTGCACACAATACCCATCCCAGACCAACCCTGTTCATCGAATCCAGTGCACAGGGCTTGATGCAGCCTCATGGGGCCTGATGATTTTAACCCCCCTGATTTAGAACATGCTGGCATTGTCCGATCTCTTAAAAGTAGTTGTCAATGGAGAATTGTCAATGAGCGGGATACTTCTTGTGGGGTTTCAGAGGGATAAATGTTTGTTCCAGTGCTATTCAATGTATTCCTCAGCAATCTAGAAGTGTTAGGGCGCTGCTGATAAAATTAGCATATAACTCAGAATACAGAGTAGCAAACAATGAGGAGAACCAGGCTTTCACGTGATCTCCTTGGCCCACTCAAGCAAAATGCATTTTGGTGTACCCAATGCAAACTTATACATCTAGGAATAAGGAATGCAGGCCATATGGATATACAGGTACTCCTCACTTAACACTGTCCCGGTTAACATTGTTTCGTTATTATGTCGCTGAACTATTAGAGAACATACTTGTTTAAAGTCATGCAATGTTCAGTTATAACATTGTTTGGCCGCCGCCTGTTAGTAGGTAACAACTGTGTCGTAACTGGATTCACTTAACATCGTTTCACTTAAAGTCATATTTTTCCAGAACATAACTACGATGTTAAGCAAGGAGTACTGTAATAGAGAACTGTGTCCCGGAGCACAGGAATTCTGAAAAGGATGTAGGGGGTGGTAGTGCACAAACAACTCAGCACAAGCTTCCTGTGCGATATTTTAAGACAAAGCATTAATAGGATTCTTGCATGTAGGAAATAGGGAAGCAATTTTAACTCTACATGCAATACTGGCAAGATTGCTACTAGAGTGCAGTGTTCAGCTCTGGTGTCCACATTATGAAAATAATGTTGGAAAAAATAGAAAAAAAATCAGAGACGGGCCACAAGAATTAATTGAGGGCTGACAGAGACACCTTAAGGGAACACTATATCTGTTTTGGTCATCTACACAACTAACTTTGATTAGTGTTTTTTCTTCTTGTGAAGATGCTTAAGTACAGGATACTAAAGGCCTCTAGTCTAATGGAGAAAAGCACACCAAGAGCTGGTTGATGACTGATAGCAGAAGGCATATAAATTTAACACTAAGGCTGATTAACCATTAAAACAAGAACCAAGAGACGTGATAGTTTCTCTCTATTTTTTAATCTTTAAATCAAGACCAGATGCCTTTCAGGAAGACATGCTTTAACCAAACAAAAGTTCTTGGTTGTATTTGGGCTCGATATAGGGGAAACTGGATACGGTACTGTTTGAAACTTCACAATCAAGCAAGGTAAATGGGCCACATGATGGAAGAAGAAACAAAATGCTTACAAAATGGTAAACGGAGGGAAATAACTAAAATGAGTCATTCACCTTACAAGGGTCTAAGTTAACTGCAGCCACTCCGGGAAAAGACTTGCATCTCAGTATGGACAGATCAAAGACCTCTGATTAATGTGCAGCCAAAATAAAAGCAAACAAAAAAATTAGGGACAAAAGGAAACATGATGGAGTTCATTATGAAAAAAATATCAATAGTGCAGAATCATTTGGACTTCTGCATTTAGTAGTGGTTTCCCTAATTCAAAAATATTAAGCTTTTATATCAGATATTAGCAGTAAGAATGCTTAGGGGATTGTTTATTTTAGAAAGGAGACAAGACATATGGGATATTATGAACTATGGAAAGATAATAGCTAGTGTTTAGGAAAGCTAATCAGGATCTTCTATTCATACTCTCACAATACAAAAACAAAGAGAGAGTCAATTAAATTGAAAGATGACATTCAAATTGATAGGATCAAGTTTTTTCCTACACAATATAATGTTTGTGTTTGAAACACTACCACAGGAAATTGTTGAGATTAAGAATTTAGCAAGATTCACTGAAGGATTGGACACTTAAATAGATAAGAAAATAAATCCAGAATTATAGCACTAATACTAAAATGGGAATTTTAAAAGCAATATAAATTCTCATAGAATAACATCTTTCTTACTATCAAGAAGTATTAAAAAGATATATTATATTTTCTCATATATAAAACACTCCCTTATTCCCAAAAAAACAGTTGCTGGAAATTGGAGTACATGGTATATGTGAGGAAATGCAGTAACAGCAGTTTATGCTGCTTAAGCTTTATCTTAAAGCAAAAGTAAAATCTGCAGCAAACCAGAGGATGAGGAACACTAAGCAGGCTCAGCTCCTCAGCTGCTGCTACTCAATTACTTACTACAAGGAAAGATCTTTTTTTCCCATTCTGCCCTTCAAAAATGAGGTGCATATTTTAGCAAGAGAAAAATTGTACAAGAGAAAAATACAGTATTTAACCCAGGGGAGATTATTTCATATCTGCTTACTGCAGGGTTTCTTGCATCTTCTGCTGAAGCACCTGGTTCTGCTCAGTGTAAATGATAGGATACTGGACAAAATGGACCAAGAATCTGATCTATTGTGGTAGTTTAGTGTTGCTATGTAGGCAGGGGCACGGCAAGAGATGGTATGATATGATTTTAAGATCTAAGCTTTACCACCATACCCCTTCCCTCCATTCACTTATAACACAATTTTAGCAGCTGCTACCTCAAAAACTGCTAAAACTAAAATCCAATCCATGCACAAAAATGTTTGACTTGCTGGTGATTAAAGAGAGGCCAATTCTGACACTGGAGTCAGAAGCGGACTGGCCAAGTTCACCGATGACACCAAACTTTGGGGCAAAGCATCCACACCAGAAGACAGGCAGGTTATCCAGGCTGACCTGGACAGGCTCAGCAAGTGGGCAGACGAGAATCTGATGGTGTTCAACGCCGATAAATGCAAGGTTCTCCACCTTGGGAAAAAAAACCCGCAGCATCCTTATAGGCTCGGCAGTGCTATGTTGGCTAGCACTATGGAAGAAAGAGACTTGGTGAGGCCGCAGCTGGAGTACTGTGTCCAGTTTTGGGCTCCACAATTCAAAAAGGATGTGGAGAAGCTTGAGAGAGTCCAGAGAAGAGCCACGCGCATGATCAGAGGTCAGGGAAGCAGACCCTACGATGACAGGCTGAGAGCCCTGGGGCTCTTTAGCCTGAAAAAGCGCAGGCTCAGGGGTGATCTGATGGCCACCTACAAGTTTATCAGGGGTGACCACCAGCATCTGGGGGAACGTTTGTTCACCAGAGCGCCCCAAGAGATGACGAGGTCGAATGGTCACAAACTACTTCAAGATCGTTTCAGGCTGGACATAAGGAAGAACTTCTTTACTGTCCGAGCCCCCAAGGTCTGGAACAGCCTGCCACCGGAGGTGGTTCAAGCGCCTTCATTGAACACCTTCAAGATGAAACTGGATGCTTATCTTGCTGGGATCCTATGACCCCAGCTGACTTCCTGCCCTTTGGGTGGGGGGCTGGACTCGATGATCTTCCGAGGTCCCTTCCAGCCCTGATGTCTATGAAACTATGAATTACTAAAATCATGTCAGAATTTAAATGGTAAAAAAGTAGCAAGATGGTGATCTTGCATTTCTAATATCTTGTAACTTCATAACACAACTGGGGTATCAAGTTCATTCTCCTGCCATCACAGTACATAGCATCATACAATGCTGTCCATAAACTCATCAAGCTCCATCTTAAAATTAGGTTGCTTGCCCGCAACACACTGGAAGGCGCACCCCATGAAACCTCACCCCATGATGGTCAGACACTGTCTTTTAATTTTCAGACTAAATATATTCATGGTCAATTTACGCCCATTTGTTCTTGTGCCAGCAGTGTCATTTAACTTAAATAGCTTGTTCCTCTCCAGTGTTCTTCACCCTGATGTACTTAGATAAAGCATTCACATGTCCTTTTGCCCTTCATTTTCATAAGATGAATAAGGCAAGCTCTTTTAGCCTCTACTTGTAAGAGATGCTGTCTATTGTCCCAATGACACTGGTAGCCTCTCTCTGCACCTAGTCGAGTTTAACTTGCAAGAGGGGTGGGGGGAGGAGATATATGGTCCCAGGGGTCAATGGTCACAAACTAAACTGATTCTTGTCGGTGTTCACGCAAGAGGAGCCTCTGCAGTATGGAGAAATTGCCACAACAAACTATTTATACAATGATAACCCTGACTTCAGAACAGTAACCCTTTGCGGGGCAAAAGGCTAAGGAGGTTGGATATAAAGCCATAACAAGATCAAACACAAGGGAAAGGAGATGGGAAAGCAATTGTCTCTCACAGCCCAGCTAATAATGATGTGAATAAACAAGTGAATACATTGATTTTATTCCACAACATTTATTTCTGTTCAACAGAAATGTCAGAACACTTTGCTCTTTCATTCAGTGAATCATCAAGCAGTGGCTGAGATCCTGTTGGGACAGGTCTCGAGTAGATGGACACTTGCAACTAGAAAAAAAAAGAACAAGCAGCCCCTTTGAGCACCACTGCAGGAGGTCGATGGATCTCTGCTGAAGGGACACAAAAGGACCACTACACAACATCAGCTGCAGAATCTTATTTTTCCGCTAAAAATTTATTTCAGGCCATTTCTGGAGGGAAAAAAAAAATCTTCTCCAAGTCTCACTCTAAGGTGGTAAAACCAGAGCCAAGAATTGGCTTTGCATTTTGCTAAGGAAGGGCGGGTTGGGAATGGACTCCATGGATTTTGCGTGGCTGTGCAAACTCACCCCGTACTTATCGTGCCACGCAAAGAACTGCATGCAGAGCAGGGAAGTGGTTCTGCTCCACACAGCCACCCGTGGGCTGCAGCCCAGGACCTGCACGTCTGTGCATCCATCACATAAGCACCTACAGGCAAAGCAAGGACGACGTTTTCTTTTTCCCCCTTCCCTCGCAGGTGCTGCTTGACTTCCCCAGCTCCACCCTTCCGAGGGCAACCCCAGTGCCAGGAGATCCCAGATCCCGGGTACAGCGGTCTGTCTCTGCAGCTGCCCGGCGTCCAGGCCCCGGGGAAAGGCACACGCGCCACCGCCCCCGGCCGACACAAGCGCCCGGACCAGCCCCGCCCCCGCCGAAGGGGCTCGGTGACGCCCCACCACAAGGCCGAGGCGAGGCAAGGCAAGGCGGAGGTCCCGCTTGCCCCAAGCCGCCGCCACCGCCGCCCTTACCCAGGTACTCGGGGCCCGGCACCGAGAAGCGCTCAGCGCTCAGCATCTCTGCTCCCTTCCGGCTTCCGTCCGTTTCCAGGACGCCGGCCGCTGTCGCGGGGTGGGGGAGGGGTACGCCTGGAAATGACTTCCGGCAGGGAGCACAACCCTGTGCCACAGAGGTTCCGGGGCGCGCGGGGCAGGGGGAAGGAAAATGGTGTAACACCAGTGAATCCACCCCTACGCGCGCTCCCTCAGCCCGCGGCAGGCGCGGGCGGGGCTGGGGGGGGGACGCAGCTGCCCACAGCTCTGAGCCGGAGCCAGTGTTACCCGGTGCAGGATAATTACCGTATTTGCACGATAATTTCACCCCTTGTACAATATACAGTCAATGATAGTCAAAGCAGTCAAAATCCACGATCATTGTTGATGCAGTGTTTGCAAAACCCAAGTTAGCCTCAGGGAGTCTAAACTGCCTTTTGGGTTTGCTGTTGGCACTTTCTTATGACTGGTTGCCTCGAAATAAAGAAATGCTTCAACTGTGATGACCCAGTTCTCACTCACCCGCGATTTAAGCCAAGCAATATCAAGTAAAAAGGACTCATTTGCTGCTTATTTGCATATTTTAGTGTACAGTACTTTTCCAGCAAATACAATAATTTTGAGCTTCTAATACAATAACTTCATATTTAAGATCCGGCAATGCTGTGGGGGAGCGATGCAGGCTGCCCTGCTTTCTTCCCCCTGCCCTGTGCTCCCTATCTGATCTGCTGCTCTGCTTTCTGCTTCCTGCCCTGTGCTCCCTATCTGATCTGCTGCTCTGCTTTCTGCTTCCTGCCCTGTGCTCCCTGCCCAATCTACCACTCTGCTTTCTGCTTCTTGCCCTGTGGTCTCTGACCAATCTGGTGCTCTGCTTACAGCTTCCTGCCCAATCTGCCACTGAGCTCTCTGTCCCCTTTTGGATCTGCCATGTCACACAGTGGCTGCCAGTGCCTCTTGTGTTACCTGTGATGCAAGTTTGCCATGCCTGGTGTAGCAATAACAGAGACAAGTGAAGAGCTATCGCAGCTCTCTACATATTGTGCGAGCATGGGGAAGACTGGGTAAATATAGTATTTAAGCCAAAAAACAGTGTTGGCACAGGAGCAAATGGGTATGCTGGGAGAAGTGGAAGAAGCAATGGTGTTTCTGAAACAGCTCTCCTATAGGAGCAAACAGCTTACCTGTTTTTTTTAAATTAGCTTGCTATCTTTGTGAAAGCAACTGTATAACATGGTTGCCCATGAATGAAGGTAACTGGGCTTGATGACCTGGGAGGTCACTTCCCACAGTAGGCTACTGTCTTGCTCAGGCCTGGAGGAGCAGCTGCACTGGGACCCTCATTTCCTGCTTCCAGGCAGAGAGGGAGGAATGAGGAGAAAGGCCAGCTCCCATTGCTCCCAGGAGGGAAGGGCAGAAAGAAGTTGCCCTGAGCTGCCAGGACTTTTGTGCTCCCACTCCCTTTTTCTGACACTGATGTAAGATCCTAAAGATGGGGAAGGAGGAGCCTCCTTTGCTTAGTTTCTTCAGCAGCCCTGATTGGCTGCCATCCCCCAGGGGAGATGAAACAATGTACACTGACTGGAACAAAATGAACAGCTCCTACACCTGCTGAGGGTGAAAGCAAACTGCAACCTTTTATGGGGGTTTGTCTCAGGCATCATAGTAGGTAATGCCTCTTTTCAAAGAGTAGCCTCTGTTAACCCCTCCCCCCCCAAATGAACAGTACATCAGAAATTCTTAGTCACCTTCCCTTGTAATAAGAAAGAGACGTTTTGAGTAGCCGCGAGGCAGCAAAGTTATTATTATTAAGAAGTCTTATAACAAGACACACAATTAGTTTGTGGAACTTATTGCCACAAAACATTTTTGAGGCCAAGAGCTCAGAAGAATTTTTAAAAGGATTAGATACTTATATGTATAATGATAGCATACAGAATTACATTAGTATGAGTTAAAGTAAAGAAAGCCAAAGTTTAGATGGAATATAAACCCTCATGTTTCAGGGCAGTAGCCAATTATCTGACAGGACTTTTTTTTTTTTTTTTTTTTTGGGTGGGGGGTGGGGAGGCAAATTCACTATAGGGAGATTATTCCGTAACTACCCACTTCAGGGTTTCTGGCATCTTCCTTGAAGCATCTAATGCTAGCCACTGTTGGAGATTAGATACTGGGCTAGATGAACCCTAGAGTGATCACCCCACAGTAATCATCTGGTCTGGCAGTTCCCATGTTCTTCAAGCTAGCATCAAGATTTTTATTTTTCACAATCAGCTGAAGCATTCTACTAAGAGCCAGGCAATTTAGCTGCCACTGAAAAGCCAACTCTGAAAGCCTTTCTTTCCCCAGACTGCCAAGAAGCTGAGCCAAGAGCAGCCTTCTATAGGCCATACACAGCTCCTTTGGTTCGTTACTCTGTATGAACTACAGTCTCTCCTGTGCCGACATCTGGATCCCTAATTTACAAGAGGCTTTTTAAGCCCAGTTTTAAAACATTACATTCTAATATTTCTCCAGTTCTCATTCTCTACAGGATTCTTCTGTTGTTGCTTTTTGGTCTCTGTGGGCTGAACTTTTTTTTTAACCAGCTAAGAGAATAAATCTTCCTTTTGGACACTAAGCCCATTTGTGGTTGTAATAATGATAAGTTTCAGCACTAGTGGCGCCTGACTGCTAATGACTCAAAGAAAACTAAATAAAAACAAGATGTCATTGCTGGAGCCATTCACAAGCTTTCCCCTGTTTACTACCATTTTCCCCTTGGTCTGCTACAGCCTGAATGTGATGACCTAACAGATCAACTGCAGAACTCACCTGTTCTCCCCAGTTTCTCTCTAGAGGAGGGAGGAATGTGGGTGCAAACTTTGCCTTTCCATATGAACCAGAAAGTGCTAGTATATAGTATTTTAGGTTACTAATAAAAACGGCCTTGTTTTGAAAAGGCTGTTCCACATCACTGTATGTACCTGCTGGCTGCATGGATCCCAAGGCAGGCAAGTCTTCATTCAAGTGGTCATGCTCTTTCTGACCCTGCTGAGGAAGCCACAGTGAGAAACAATGGTACTCAGACGAGTGACCTAATGTTATAATAGTGGAACTGCAGCTATCAACCTTGTAAAAGTGGAGGCCTAAGGATTAATACTAAAAAGGTACACTTCTAAAGGGACTGAATAAAGGTCAAACTATGGCATTCCCTTTGGAAAAATTACAGCAACGCAGGAATCACTACTTAAAGTGTTGTCTATGTGAAGAACACTCAGGAAAATGAATCCAAATGACCCTTTAAAGGGAATTATTTAAAACTGCTGTGTGGACACTCTCTAGAGGACACTTTGAAAGTAAATTAAGCAAATTAAGGCCATTTTTTGTTCTATATTAGTTTGTCCACACAAGTTTATTGTAGTTTAACTCATCCTTTTGAAATCGACTCTTTAGGGACATTCAAAAAGCCTGTGCCTAAATTGATTCAATCTTAGCAGGTTAGTCTGACCTGGCTAGGCTGCGCTGGTTTGTAACCATAAAGACATCCCTTCTTGACTGAGGAAGTGCGGGTACATGCCTGCAGTGGTTCAGGCTAGAAGCCAGAGGATGCTAGAGAAGCCCTCTCTTACCTTCCAAAGTGCTGAGCTGAGGGGGCGTGGCCAGGCCTGGGCAGGATGCTCTGATTATGGAGGGGTTCCCCCCGCCTCGCTGCTCCTCTGACCAGCGATGGAGCCAACAGGGAGTTCCACAGCATTTACTTACACAGCAGGGAGTTGCACAGTGTTTATAAGACCATCAGCAAAACCAAAGCCTCTTTCATTAGTTCAAGCTCTTCTTAAACAACTTTTTCTAAGGAAGGAATGGAGGGACATAACCAGCTACCTGTTGATTAGTTCCAAAAAGCCCTAAGCGGACACTGTCCTGTTTGCTTTACACAGACAGCTCTCAGCATTAGTTAGCATACCACATGCTGGCTACAGTCCCCCTCTGGGAGAGGGGAGGGGGGAAATCCCTGCTTGAGCAGCGAGTGGTGGATGGGGCAGGGGGAAGCCAGGCAGACCAAGTCAAAGGCCTTCTTGAAATCCAGATATAGATGTCATATATCTGGATTTCAAGAAGGCCTTTGACTTGGTCTCCCATGATGTCTTCATGGCTAAGCTGGAGAACTGCAGCCTCGACCATCTCATGGTCCGATCACTGGGGAACTGGTTCTGGGGTCAGACCCAAAGAGTATTAGTCTATTCTTAGTTATCATTCTGTATATAACCACCCTTTTTGTGGTCAGTGTTTAAGTTTATGTTTTAATAGTTGACAAGTGAAGAAAGAAACAGCAATGCATACAAATATTTGGAAACAGGTAAAAGCATGGTGGGTATCTACTACAGACCACCCAACCAGGGGGAAGAGCTGGACCAGGACTTCTCCAGTCAGCTTATGGAGGCGGTTAGGTCAAGGGATGTTATTGTCATGGGTGACCTAAACTACCCAGACATTTCCTGGGAGGAGCAGACAGCCAGGTCTGACCGCTCACGTAGGTTCCTAGCTGTATTACAGGACCTTCACCTTATCCAAGAAGTGCAAGCAGTGCCAATGCGATGCCATAGCAGCAAAGCAAGCCAAACTCATATGCATCTACCAATTCATCTCAAAATCAGAGACGTCATCCTCCCACTCTACTCGGCCTTAGTGAGGCCGCAGCTGGAGTACTGCATCCAGTCTTGGGCCCCCCACTTCAGAAGGGATGTGGATAAGCTTGAGAGTCCAAAGGAGAGCCACCCACATGATCAGAGGCCAAGAGAGCAAGCCATATAAGGAGAGGCTGAGGGACTTGGGACTCTTCAGCCTGGAGAAGAGAAGGCTCACGGGGGACTTGGTGGCAGCCTATAAGTATATAAGGGGGGTGCACCAGGATCTGAGAGAACAGTTGT